GTTTTTATATTTTTCAATATATTTATTTTGTTTGTACAAAATAAAAAAATAATTTTTAACGATACAATAGCCACGATTATTATTTTAAAAAGTTTTCGTTAGGCTTAACATCGACGAAAATCCAACGTGAAGCGATACGCAACAGAGAAAAATTTCAACATGGAATAGGTTAATATGTTTTTTTGTACATAATTGGTTATCCGAAAAATAAGTTATCCGAACAACCCCATTCCCCAATTGATTCGGATAAATGATGCTCTACTGTATATTATTCTAATAAATTATGTTTTAATATAGGGATTTGTTTAAAGTTATTGTTAATAATGTTTAATTGCTTGGTGGAAATTGTAATAAAGAAATAAATAACCCTGAAATTGTAAGAACTTTATATTATTGTTGGTAAATTTTAAAAATTATGTTGGGAAATTTAAAAAAATGTATAAAAAATTTTGTTGTTTTTAATTTTATGTAGAATGTGTCATATAAATACCTGCTGATGAGGGACAAATGGGTCTGAAATGCAATATTAACATGTGTGTGTTCAGGTAAATTAAATAAAACAATTTTCTAATCTGTGAAACTGAGTTGCAGTATCCTTAAAGCCAGTTTAATAAGTCCTGTTAATAGATTGTACTAGTGGACAAAATAATAATTTATTATACACTGTATTGTTAAATCTGTTGCAGACCTTGGGAGGAGGTTGAAAATGTTCATATTTTGTTGAAATATTATGTTACTGGAAAGATGTTAGTCTATTTAGTACAATATTTTAAAATACCTACTTTATAATAAGAAATTGTTGTATAAAGTGAGATTTGCTTAACTCTGACAAGGTATAAATATAGCTTTGTAAATCAAAATCGGTTCTTGAAATTCAAAATCACAATGTGATAGGATCTTTTTATCACTTTTAAAATTGTCAGGATTAGGATGAACTTGGTTTAAATTATGGAACTAAACACCACTTGTGTCGGAATTGGAGCTGGTCAGTCAAATTTTATTCTGTAAAGTAGTGATTTATTCACTAATTTAGAGAATAAAATTGGACCATCTAAAATCGGCTGATTTGACTTATCTGTCAGTTTATCCTGAGATTTATACTCACACAGTGCGTTGAGAGTAATTATACAGATTAAAGTGCATTTAATCTCTAGATTAAAACTCGTGGAACTGGTCCTTAGTTTTTTTTTTCTAACATACGTGAGAAAATTAAATCAACTACTTTTGATTACAATTTTTCTGAAAATTAGTCCATATTTTTAAATATTTCAGAAATTCCTGCAGTATCAAGGATTCCCAATGAAGACATCAATTGATATGCTGATAAAACTAAAACATCGTTTTTAGTTGCTGTGCTGATTTTCAGAAATCAGCACAGTGACTACCACTGCTGCCGATTTAACGGTAAGTGGAGTCTATTTGAAATTCTATTTGATATACAGTAAACTCCTGATTATCTGGGCTAATGGTGGGGAGAGGTGGCACAGATAATTCAAACTATAATTATTTATTTCTAAAATACAACATGTAGATTCAATGTAGATTCACCTTTTTCAAATTTTTCAATTAACATTGTTTTTGTTTTATACTAAGTATGCCTTTATATTGATTATTAGGAATTTTAAGGGTACTTATCTGAAAACTGAAAAATCATCTTATTTTATTTAATTTTACACAGTGTTTGTGAGCGAGTTATTTGAAAAAAATATTATGTATAATATGTATTATACATACATACATATAATCAAATCTTAAATTGTAATACATATTGTAACATGCAACTAAACGAAACTTTGTATAAATGTACTCACCATCGCTTTCTCTTCTGAAAAGAAACGTCTGGCGCGAAAGAAGCAGCCTAACTAAAACCAGTCCAGCTGACTTCAGATACCCCCATCACTCACTTCAAACATCTAAATACGAACATGTGCGCACTTATAAGATGCGTAAACATGAAAGCGAGCAACTATTTAAAAAATACATACATACGTAATTATTTTTTAAAAATTAAATTCATGCACGGATAATCTGCAAACTGGATAATCCTCGCACGGATAATCGGGAGTTTACATTTGCCATGAAAATATCTTTGTTAGGACATAGATATATACATTTGTCTTGTAACGACAACATTTTACATTGTCAAATGTTGTTAGTACAGAACACATTTTTGTTAAGTAACACGAAACATCATAATATGAAGTAACTGTTTCTTGACTGCATGGTCAATTATTATTTTCACATTGTGTGTCAGTGTGATTAATTTGCACAATCCTGTTTCTTATTTAAAGTGAATTATTTTAACCAAAAAAGAGAGGCTCTGATTTTTTTTACTTTGGTGAGAGAGTGGTGGAAACAAGTTCTGAGCAGAAATACGTGAAATTAAGATAGTTTTGTTATGTTTGACATTCTTGTGATTTTGAATTGATTGATGACTAAAATATTTATGCCAAAATTCTGATTGTTGATAGCTGATTTTATGAAAACTGAAAGGGCATAAAAAAAAGATTTATGGAATATATTTTTGCAGAACACAATTTACATATGGAATTTTCCTGCAAATTGTTGCTTTCTGGCATACAAAATAAGAATTTATGATCGAAGCACAGCCCAAAAAGTAGTAAGTCTCCCACATCTGGTGGCCTAGGGCCATGGTGTGCAAACTTTTTTCGACTGCGACCCCTTTTGTAGAGAGAGAATTTTTGGCGACCCCCTAGAGATAAATGTTCACAAATACGATGTATATTTCGCGCATTTTTTTCGTTTCATCGAATAAAAACATCATCATATCTGACTCATATTAATTTTATTTATAATTTTAAGAAAATACTTTTTGTATAACATAAAAATCAATAAATTGCCCTTTAATGAGATGTATGTGGCTGCAAGTTTCTAATTATCTCATCGATGTTTGGATGTATGTTGCTAATTGCAATTCGCATATCATCTTCAAGGTTTAAACGCGAGCGGTATTTAGTTTTTATTGAAACTAGTTTGCTAAATCCAGTTTCACATAAATACGTTGATGCAAATTGTATTAAAACCCTGATGGCATTCTTGCATAAAACGGGATATTGCTTTTCCACGGATAGCCAAAATTTTTGGCAAGGCTGAGTCTTAAATTGATTTCGAAGAGTATAATCACTAATTAAATCTATCAATTGCTCTTTCTCACTAATTTGAAGAGTTGAACTGCATATGTCGTAGGAAAATGGATCACGAATCCAACCAAGATCGTTTTCAGGAAAATCCTTGAATCTTCTCGAAAAATTTTCCTTTAACTTTTCAATGTGATTGGAAATGATGTTTTTAAATGTAAATATATCTATATTATTTTCCTTGATAAAATCGTTAAAGCAAGGGAACATGTCGGTGTTGTTTTTATTCAGTTCAGTTTGCCAGAGACTAAGCTTATTCTTAAAAGCTTGAATTTTACTGGCTGAAGTTATGATAGTTGAATTCTCACCCTGCAAGCTCAAATTTAAGTCGTTAAGTTTTTCGAAAATATCAACTAAATAGCTCAGCTTCCCTAGCCAAACTTCATTGATATAATAACTTGCCAATCTATGTTTCTTTTCGATTAAAAACATGTACACTTCATTTCTTAAATCAAATATCCGTCGTAGTATTTTCCCACGTGAAAGCCATCTGACTTCGGTGTGTAACAGTAATCTCTCATACGTTGAGCCCATCTCATTGCAAAGTATTGAAAAGAGACGGCTGTTGAGGCTGTTGCATTTAATGTAGTTAATTGAACTAACAGCGTCTTGTAATATGTTGTGCAACTCTTCATCCATATCTTTTGCAACAAGAGCATGCCGATAAATCATACAGTGATTAAATACCATATGAGGCACCACTTTCTGAATTAAGCCTCTGAGCCCTTTATTCGAACCTGTTAATGCTGCAGCACCATCAGTACAAACTGCAACACAGTTTGCCCAGGTAAGGGACTTTGCTTCAAAATATTCATTTATTACTTCAAATATTTTTTCTCCAGTTGTTTTTCCTTCCAAACTTTTGCAACATAAAAACGTTTGTTATATCTTCATTAAAAATAAACCTAACATAAATAATAACATAAATAAATAATTAGTTGTGACATTTTAATAATATCGGTAGTCTCGTCCAGTTGTAAAGCAAATACAGATGAATTTTGTATGCGTTTTATGACTTCTGACTCGATATTTCGTGACATTTCGGAAATCCGCCGAGACACGGTATCTCTTGATAATGGTATTGTTTTTAGTTCATTTCCATATTTATCGCCATGCATAATTGATGTCATCTTGGTTGCTGCAGGAAGGATAAGGGATTCTCCAATTGTATGGGGTTTCATTGTTTTTCCTATTAGATAAGAAACTTCTAAAGAAGCTCGTAATGCTTTCTGAGGTATTGTTGTAAATTTCTTTAAATGTGCACTTTGAATTTTCAGATTTTCAGCTCGTCTTTGAAAAAAATCGGCATGTTTATTTTGAAGTTTTTTATGTTTAGTTTTCAGGTGCCTTTTTAATTTAGCTGTATCATGCTCTCATTCGCTAATTTTTCGTTGCAAATGACACATATCGGGCGTTCTTCATCACCAACAACACAAAATGTAAAACCATACTTAATAAATTCCTCATTGTATTTTCTTATTTTTTTAGATAGGGCATTTAGTTCAGTATTTTGCGACTCCTCATCAGTATTTGTTCGTTTGTTAGCAGAAGATGTACCTGGTGTATGTATTACCCATTTATCCATTATGAAGATAGGGGTTAAATTTTTTTAACTAAAACAAATAATATATTTTCTTTTTTCATTTTTTTTTCGAGAAATTCAATAAAATTAACAGAGATCTTTCTCTAATGATAGTACATACCTGATAACAAAGAGTAGTAAAGCCCGATAAAAATATACAAAATCATAATTACACAACGTCACATGAAAAAACTCGAGGAGAAACTAAAACAATTGCAGGCCAACTGCTACATGCTACAACTTTACATGGAAAAGCGCAGTAAAACATTCAGCGATAATTTTTGGTCGTTTGGTTGGCCTTTGAGGATTGTGGCTTTGTTCCTTTGTTTGGCTTGGTATGCTTAACCGGTCAGCAGTGAGTGACGACTATAGTCGTCCAACAGGGTCGTGTGGCTATTGTGAAAGACGACTATAGTCGTCCAAGGTCAACGAGGTCGATCGCCAGAAAGTAGCCTAAAGCTAAAACAGAAAATAAATTAGGTAAAAAATAATTACTGTAGCATTTAGAAAACACTTTACTCTACCAGACATGAAATAGTACAAAATCTTATATCGAAAAACAAACGAGTAATAATAATTCAAAAAATAATTTTAAATTTTTGACCTTTGCCCTCCACAACCAGGTGTAGAAACCTGTCTTAATGCTTCACTTATCTTATCTCTTCTTTTATGGCTTGGTTGGCCTTGGCTTGGTACGCATGTCTACAAGATGACTACCACAGCCCTTGATTACCACTCCATCTCGTACGGTGCGCATGCTCAGTGCGCACCGTTCGACACAGTACGTATAACATCAATACGTCGGACAAATAGGTGCTTTTTAGTAAAACTGGGGAATTACCGTGAAGAGGGTGCCATCTACCGGAGTGAAAAACTTGCGTCTTCACACTTCACACTTTACATACATTACGCATTACGGTCAAAGAAAGAGCGGACAGCATGAAATTGCAATTAAACAGTGAGTAACGGCGCTTCACTCTTTATATGTACACTGTATGGTATGCAGCATGCAGGCATAATGCATTTCATTAAAAATTTGGCGACCCCCAAAAAACTTCTGCCGACCCCTAGTTTGCGCACCACTGGCCTAGGGCTGTACAAATAAGTTATCTGAATTGGCTACTTTGTAGCCCGATCTTGCAAATTTGAAAACTAACCATATTTTATGAGATAGGAGGAAAAAGGAATAGTCTGAGGGTTAGGTGACACTCAGGGTATAGTCTGAGGGTTAGGTGACAACAGAAGCTCAATCTATGAGTGAGTTTTCTGACATATCTGACGAAGAGCCAAATATGGAGGTGACAAAACCAACGTCACCTCCAAAAGAAAAACCCCCTGTTAAAGTAATCCTTTATACTTGTAAGCTGGTAACACAGCAGGCAGTATGATTTTATAAACAAGACAGTCTGGTCAATAAGAATCAGATTGAGTTATTGGAGTGACCATCTTTTGCTTATTATAAAAATTTACAATAATATTTTGTATTAAGATTATAAAATGTTTTATTTAAATAATGAAAATTACTTTTTAAGTTAGATGTTTGATTTAAGTTCAGTTTTTTTTAATTTTCAACTCAGTCCAATGCATTTATTTTTTTTCTTGTTGTTGTATGCAGTTTCCAGCAAACTTTACTCAATTTTTTCTATTTGTGAAAATTTCTACATAATTCAAAGGTAATATATATATATATATGCACAAGGGCCATTCTAAAAGAAAAGAACGTTTTGATCTGACAAGCCGTGCAGTTCTCCCACCTCCGTCTACTGATGCGTCATGGACCTTCCCACGTTTTTGCGCTAGTCTGATGCTAATAGCGAGCCACAACGATCGTTTACTGTTTACAGTGTGACTTTGAAATGTGTGACGACAAAATTAAAGATCCCGCCAAGTGTGAGGTTTGTAGTATAATACGCTTTTTGAATGCGAAAAAAGTCTGCCTTATTGAAATTTACAGACAGATAACTGAGGCTTATGGTAATGTGATGAATGAAGCTTCAGTTCAAAACAAACAGTGGGGATTGTTGTTCAGAGGCATTGTGCTTCTTCAGGATAATGCACGTCCGCATGCTGCTGTGTTGACGAAGAACTTTCTTCAGCAGTTTAAGTGGGAAGTTTTTGAACATCCTTATAGCCCAGACCAACGGTGGGCAACCCCCGGCCCGCGAGCCAGCTACGGCCCGCGAAAAGTTTCTATCCGGCCCACGAGATGTTTAGAAGAAATTATAAATAAATATTTTTCGATGTAATTCGTCTAGTTTAAATTGAATATTATTTTCTGAAGTGTTGTGGCAGAAATGACAGGAAAAAATAAGGGAGTTATTTCCTTATTCAAACAAAAAATGAGTGAACAGAATTTTTCTAAATTTTTTATATCTCATCGCATCATCCATCAAGAAAATCTATGTGCAAAAGCTATGAAATTAGAAAATGTAATGTCTGTCGTATCCAACTACATAGTGCTGTTTTTATTGTGTTTAAAGTCACTTAGATTTTACAAATAGGTGAGCCGTTCACAGCCCGGCACACGCATTTG